GCCCACAGTGGAGTCACTGACATTGTGATCGGCATGCCTCACCGAGGCCGACTCAACCTCCTGACAGGCCTGCTCAAGTTCCCACCTGAGGTTTGAATATTTAATCTGACCCGTATACTGCATTTTAGTCACGGTATTCAAGATTATCTTTTATTTTCTTTAACATCACTGAACAGCTTTTGTTCGCCACGACAAACAAAAGCGAGACGGTCTCGGATAACGCTGTGCTTCCCTTATTTTTCTCTCCAGCTTATGTTCCGTAAGATGCGTGGCCTCAGCGAGTTCCCCGACACCTCGCCGGCCATTGGTGACGTCCTCTCCCACCTCACCTCTTCGGTGGAGTTAGATTTCAGAGCCAAACACCCCCTTCATGTCACCATGCTGCCCAACCCATCTCACCTTGAGGCCATCAACCCCGTGGCTCAGGGCAAAACCAGAGCCAGGCAGCAGCTCCGGAAAGAAGGGGACTACTCGCCTGAAGACGACGCCCAACCTGGGGACCAAGTCATCTGTCTGCAGGTATCACAGCTGCACGCACGCGTGAGGACATATTTTAGAACTTGCTAGAAAAAGTGATGAGTCTGTTAGTGTGGAATTTCATAAACGAACACAAATAGCTCTATTGGAACAAATAAAAAAGTGTTTTACTTCTGTGTGCTGAAAAAGATTCCCTCTCCCTTCCAAAATGCTTAAGAAATCACTGTATTTGACAATTTTACATTTATTCGCTCTACCTCATGTTAATATTGTGACTTACAGACATCACAACTTTAACTTGTGCTTATTATATAATGTTATACTAACTAACCAACCAGGAAGCTCATTCTCTTCCTCTTCAAAACATTTTCTTTGAAGGTAAAGTGCTTTTTGGGGTCACCTTGAAAGAAAGACAGATGTGAAATGTAAAAGGGAGGTCAGAGGTCAAATGGGACATGATATTTGGTTGCTATAACTATAATGCAATATTTAGAATCCCCGTATGCCCTTTCCATAAATGCCTATATGTTGTCAACACAAACACTGGTGGTAAGAATAATAGTTTTAAATAGCTCTGTATAGCATTGCTATCAATTTGACCTTCAGATCATTCTGTTGACCTTGAAGGAGAGGTCAGAGGTCAAATATGACATATTTTAAAACTTTATAATTGTACTTTCTGCATGTTGACTACACACACCACACCAAAGAATCATAGCTAATCAGGTCAGTATAAAAAAAGCAGGATTTGTTAGATGATGTTCGTTTGTACGATGAGATAACTTCTTCTTTCTTCCTTCTTCACAGATTCACGGCGACGGCTCGTTCACTGGTCAAGGCATCGTTCCTGAAACTCTGACCCTTTCAAATCTTCCTCACTACAGAGTGGGTGGGAGCATCCACCTCATCGTGAATAACCAAGTGGGCTACACCACCCCGTCGGAAAGAGGACGATCGTCTTTGTACTGCAGTGATGTTGGTCAGTGAAAGCTTCTCATCAGTATTCCCGTGTACAGAGAGAATACGTTATTAGCAAGTCATTTATTTGAAAGCGCTTTGTGTGTATAAAAAAAGACTTTGAGAATAGGCAGACATGAGATAAAAAGCATGTGAGGAGAGTTGCAGATTAACTAAATATAAACTTTTAAAATGTCACAGCTTCAAAGTTTTTGGAGCTCATTCTAAAGTATTTAAACCCAGTGTTTCC